TTGCAGAAGATCCTGCAAAACGACTTCCCCGAGCAGTGGCCCGGGTTCCTGGATCTTACTCTTCAGCTCCTCGGCACCAATGACGCAAGTACGGTGTATGCGGGTCTGCAGTGTCTATTGGCAGTCTGCCGGGTGTATAGATTCAAGGCTGGCGAGAAGCGAGAGGAATTCGACAAGATTGTGGAGCACTCGTTTCCCCAGCTTCTCAGCATTGGATCGAAGCTCGTGGATGAGGAGAGTCTGGAGGCCGCGGAGATGCTCCGCATTGTGGTCAAGGCTTTCAAGCATGCAATCTACGTGGGTGTTCCCATGCACGCAACCTGGCCAACCATACTGACTGACTGGGATGTAGTTCGAGCTCTCTCCTTGTTTACAAACCCATCAGGCCACCGTGGACTGGTGCACACTATTCCTGCGAATCGTCTCGAAGACGCCCCCCGCGAACGCTATGGGAGATTCCAAGGAAGAACGGGAAATGAACCACTGGTGGAAGTGCAAGAAGTGGTCATACGCCAACCTCAACCGTCTATTTATCAGGTGAGATACATTTGGATTTTTCAACCGGTCTGCAACGGCTTTTACTGACTTTTGAACTCAGATACGGCAACCCCACTACGATCACAAAATCCTCCACCCCCGACTACACACCGTACGCGAAGACCTTTATCAGCACATTCGCCCCCGAAATTCTTAAGGGATATTTGACGGAGATCGACAAGTGGGTTTCCAAGTCGCAATGGCTCAGCAACTCCGCACTTTCATATACGCTGGTCTTTATGGAGGAGTGTGTCAAGCCCAAGGCCATGTGGGATCACCTGAAGCCGCACATGGACAACCTTATTGCCCATTTCGTCTTCCCCATCTTGTGCCAGTCAGATGAGGATATTGAGCTTTTCGAGGACGATCCTTCTGAATACCTCCATCGCAAGCTGAACTTCTACGAGGAAGTTTCCGCTCCTGATGTGGCCGCCACCAACTTCCTGGTTTCCCTGACCAAGAACCGCAAGAAGCAGACCTTCTCCATTCTCACTTTCGTTAACAGTGTTGTCAGCAAGTACGAGGCCGCACCGGAAGACCAGAAGCAGCCTCGTGAAAAGGAGGGTGCTTTGAGAATGATTGGCTCGTTGGCTTCGGTCATTCTGGGCAAGAAGAGCCCCATTGCGGATCAGGTCGAGTACTTCTTCGTCCGTCACGTTTTCCCCGAGTTCCGCAGCCCCCACGGCTTCCTCCGCGCTCGTGCTTGCGATACCCTGGAGAAATTCGAGCAGCTCGACTTCAAGGATCCCAACAACCTGATGGTCATCTACCGGAACATCCTCGAGTCCATGACCGATCCCGAACTGCCCGTGCGTGTTGAGGCCGCCCTTGCTCTGCAGCCCCTTATTCGTCACGACGTTATTCGCACATCGATGCAGCAGAACATCCCCCAGATCATGCAGCAGCTTCTCAAGCTCGCCAACGAGGTCGACGTGGATGCTCTGGCCAACGTCATGGAGGACTTCGTTGAGGTCTTCTCCGCTGAGCTTACTCCCTTCGCCGTGGCGCTGAGCGAGCAGCTTCGCGATACTTATATGCGTATTGTTGGTGAGCTCCTGGAGCGCAATGCCTCCAAGGGCGGTGATGAGGATGGCTACGGTGATTTCTTGGATGACAAGAGCATCACCGCATTGGGTGTTCTGCAGACCATTGGAACCCTCATCCTCACTCTCGAGAGCACCCCCGATGTACTCCTGCACCTCGAGACTATCCTGATGCCCGTCATCAGTATCACTTTGGAGAACAAGCTATATGATCTCTACAACGAGATTTTCGAGATTATTGACAGCTGCACATTTGCATCCAAGACCATTTCTGCTTCCATGTGGCAAGCGTTCGAACTGATTCACAAGACATTCAAGGCTGGTGCCGAGCTCTACCTCGAAGATATGCTCCCTGCCCTTGACAACTATGTCGCTTACGGTTCCGAGATGCTGGTCCAGAACCCTGCCTACCTCAATGCCGTGGTTGGTATGGTGCAAGACATCTTCGCCGACGAGAAGGTCGGTGGTGTTGACCGCATCTGCGGTTGCAAGCTTGCTGAAACCCTGATGCTTAACCTTCGTGGACACATTGACCAGTACATCCCGCTCTTCATTGAGATGGCTATGCGGGTCATTGATGCCGGCGAGGCGCGCACCAAGTCTTACCGCATCCACCTTATGGAGATGGTCATCAACGCAATTTACTATAACTCCGCACTCAGTCTTCAGGTTCTGGAGGCTAAGGGCTGGACCAACAAGTTCTTCAGTGCTTGGTTCGCTAACATCGACAACTTCCGCCGTGTGCACGACAAGAAGCTGTCGATTGCTGCTATCAGCTCGCTTCTTACTCTTCCGGCCGGTGACGTCCCGGTCAGCGTCCAGCAAGGATGGCCGAGACTGTTGCAGGGTGTGACACGACTTTTCCAGACCTTGCCTGCTGCATTGAAGCGTATGTCTTTCAACCTCTCACATTGTGGACTCCAGGACTTTCAAAGCTAATCAATAACATAGAACGTGAGGATGCCACCAAGGAATCCGACTTCACCCTCGACGACGAAGATGATGACGATGACGAGGAGAACGACTGGGATGGTGACGTTGAGTGGGACGAAAATGAAGTCGAAGCCGCCCTTGACGATGATGTCGCCGACGAGAGCGCTGCCTACCTCGACTTCCTCAACCAAGAGGCGCAGAAGTTCGGCTCATTCGCCGACGATGACGACGATGATATGGACGAGGAAAGCTTGCTGGAGACCCCTCTGGATAAGGTTGAGCCATATGGCATGTTCAAGCATGTCTTGCTAAGTATGTGATCCACACCAACCACTCTTTTCAACCTGCTAACATAAGTCTAGACCTCCAACAAGAGCAGCCCCAGCTCTACGAGAGCCTGACCAAGGTCCTCGGCCCCGAGGAGCAACAGATCATCCAAGGTGTCTTCCACGAAGCCGACGCCAAGGCCATGGTCGCCGCTGCCAACGCAGAGGCCGCCGCTGCAGCGGGCATACAGAACGGCAACTAAGAGAATTTATTTCCGAGATGGTGTGAATATTTTCCCATGTCAATGTCTCGTTTCTGGTTTTCTGTTTCCCCTGCATTTTCCTCACGAGACCATATGCCCATATCATGTCTTTCCCGCTTCTTTAGATCATGCCCCCCCAATCGTCCTCTGCCATCTCTGTTTTTCTTTTGCCTTTTTTTTTTATCTCTTTCCGTTCCCTGTCACGCTCCCGCTGATGTACTCACACAAAAGTCCTACATCTTATCCCCCTTTTCTTCTCCCCCGTCCTAATCCTCTTCGCTGCACAGATTCCCCAGAAGACCTCATTATTCTCCATGATATAGTACATCATCCATGCTACAAATGTTGGATTCAATTTATTAGACTCTGGATTGTAGTTAAGTAGAAAGCCTATCAGACAGGGAGTTGGATTCACGTATCACCGAGGACGGTGGACATCTTCGAACACCGGCAGATGTGATGTACGCGGTATACGAGCAGTCAGATCCTTGCGTTTGTTCAACCATTCCTAATGTAGAAATACATGCACATTCCCCGTGGGTGTTTCGGTGTAGAGGAGTTACATCTCAGCGTTATAGTTATAAGGGTGGTAGATTAGATCAATGTCTACCGCATAAGTTTGCGGCCACCGTAGCAAATAGGTACACTTATCTGCCAAGATCGTGTCTAGTAGTAGCATTTTCCCTCTATTTCGGTCGTAATTAAAACTATTTTTGTAATTTAGCCCTTCCCCAATACGATATATAGTTCTCAGGAAGGAGGACAGCACATTAATGTATATGTTGTCATGGCCGCAATTGGCGTCGCCATCATAAATGCCAACATCACCACAACAATGAATAGATACTCCTTCTACAGGCAAGACCCCAACAATCCAAAGCAGATTAAGGTAACCAAGTAAAATACAAGGCATCCAAGGTTATTTACTCGCAGGCGCTCATACAATTGGAGCACAACCCAATGAGATGCTTCACGGTAACGTCATCATGATGAAGATAGACCGGTTTGGTAACGTCAGATGGAGCTCCTCTATCTTATAAGAAACTGAGCACTGCGTCCACAGCTTGAATCAGTCTCAATCTACTTATCTGAACAAACACATACTCAGTCCCTCAATTCAGTTCAATTCAATTGATACACTATATCCGTCGAATGTGAGTTCCGTTGATCTATACATCGCCACCCAACCGTCTACCTATACACTACCAAATCACCTCCAAGAGAACACCCAGCTAACACAGCTCCCCCGACCTAGCACGTCCATCCTACATCAATACTACCACCACAAATATGTCTGCTCCCTATCCCGGCCGCCAATCTCCCGACCCGGAGCGCCAATCCGGCGCCCAGCTGAACGACACTCCTGGCACTGGCAAGACATCTCTGGGCAGCCACCCATCATCCGACGAGACGAAGAAGGCCTCAGATGAGTTCCAGTCTCACGGTCTGACGAGTAACCCGGTGCACCCGCTGGAAAAGATTGAGGCGGATAAGTACGTGAAAAAGGGAAAACATCACTAAATAGGCTTTTTGTATTACAACTATGTTATTGTAAGGGCGTGTTGTATTCTGGATAATGATATCATGAGACTATTTCCTGCTTATGGGATAAATTGATCTGTTGAGCATATCTATACCTCCAGTGTGAACAATAGTCTATTCTAATAAACAGCTACGCTCGTACAAGTAGGCATCCAGTATGAAGTGAATTTTCTGTCCTTTCGTTTGCTTTCATTGAGATACCCAAGTGGTAATCAACTAAAGCCGAACACGACACAATTAAAAGCTCGCTCGCACGAAACAAGTCCAGAAAATGGTTATCATCGAAGACGCGAAAGAAAAAAGTCAATTATGGTCATGGCATGGCATCATAAAAAGGGGAATGATAAACGCAATAGACACGAAGGAAGCAAGCCCAGCGCAAGTATTCATTTTTAACCCCGACCTTCTTAATAAATCTAAGCCTTAGGCTCCTGAGGAGGAACAGCAGCAATAGACTCAGAAGCACCCTCAGCAGCAGCGGAGCCCTCAGCCTCACCACTCTTACCCTGCTTCAGGTCGGCCAAGCGACGAGCCTCGTTGTGGATATCCCGCACCTGCTTATCAGTCCGAGCATAAAAGTCGCGCAGCTTCTGGCCGGTGGGGTGCTCGAGCGCCTTTTCGAAGTACGAGCTCAGACCGTGCCAGCCGGTGGTGGCCTTGTTGGTGATCTGGTAGCTCTCGTCGAGACCCTTGGCGCGCTCGGTAGCGTTGAACTTCTTGTCGAAGTTGCTCAGGGCGGAGGTGAACCGGTTGGAGAAGCCGTGCTTCTGGTCAAGGGCGATGGCCTTGGTGATGGCGTTGTCGCTGACTACGTAGCCGTGGGCCAGGTACTCGGCGATGATGCGCGAGCGGGGCTTGTCCTCCTGTGCGATATGGTTCTCGTCTTCCTTGGTGTCGGCAGTGGTGGCGTCGGGGCCGGCGAGCTCGTCGATGTTGTGGGCAGCTTCGACGTGCACAGGGGAGGTGCCCAGTTGGGTTTGGTCCAGAAGGAGGGCGGTCTTAGCGGCTCTGGTAAATTGGGTTAGAACTGCGTTTTCCAGTGTCTTCTTATGTCTTTTTGGGGGTCGGTTCGGTGGCGGGCTGTTGCGACAATGTGCTTGAAGTAGGGTGCGGGGTAGCTTACGCCTCCTTCTCAAAAGTCACGGAAGCGGACTTGGGGGCATCGGCCTCAGACGAAACGGGAGTGATGGAAAGAGAGACAATCTTGCCACTATAATTCGAACAGTCAGTGAATGATTGTAATTATGCGACATTATGTCATACCAAAAGCTGAAGAAGTCGCGAACCTCCTTCTCGGAGGTTGCGGGCGAGATGCCCGAGACATGAACGGTAGCGGGAGCAGACATGATTTCAGGTAGGATAAAAGGTGGAAGAAAGTAGAAGTGAAGAAATCCAGAAGATCTCACCATCTGAGGGGCTGTACATATAGTGACCAAAGCTACTGCGCCACAGGTGACGTAGAGCGGGGCTTACACCGCCACATAGTTAATCTTGTCTCATTTCTTGCTTTGGCTTAATTTACTGAGCTGCCTGAAGCTGTTTCTCGATCCTTCTGTGTTTGCCTGCAAACTCCCAGCCCGAAATGAAAATAAGCGCCCCCATGGACGCGTAAGAATGATAGGTTACATTGAGAGTTGAATTACTCTGCAATTCCGTCAGAGGAGGGTGTCGCAGAGATATCACTCGTTGACTCCGACGGCACTGCCTCTTTCTGCTTCTTCAGTGTTTGCTCCAGATCCCGCACGCGCTTCCTGAGCTGCTCGTTCTCCCGTTTGATGGATTCCAGCTCCGATCGGTGTTGTGTTGCCTCTTCAAAGCGTGACAGTGAGGTTGCCGGCGAATACCCCAGCTGTGTCTGCGAGACCGAGTTTCGGTGGGGATATACACTGCTATTGCTGTGGGAAAACGAGGTTAAGGACCCGATTGATGGTCGGCGAGATGTAAGGGAGGGTTCGCGGCTGCGAGCAGTTCGGGAGTGATCTGCTCGAGATGGCAGGCTAGTCTCTCGGGAGGGTGCAATGCCAGTTACACTTGCTGCCTGAGGGACCTGACTCGCCGATGCATGCGAACTGAGGCTTGAATTGGACCGGTGCCGTCGTGTTGAGTGGGATTGGCCTGAATTGCTCAAGGTGGGTGATGCGCGGGCATCTGGTTCATTGAATGTGGATGTAGATGAAGCTGTCGACGATACGGATGCTGTCTGGTGCCGGAGCAGAGAAAGTTCGCGAGTCAATCGGTTCACCTGAGAGTCATATGTCAGCCTTTTGATATTATATAGTTCGGGCCTCCGGGTCCCGACTTACCATTGCTTCCTGTTCCTTTTCAAGCACTAGATGGAGATCCGAAGGCGTCAGCGGCTGGGGGTGACGCAATGGCCCTTATTCCGTTAGCCGGAGAAGAGCATAAGCGGTATCTCCCACTAATGACTTACCCTGGGCTGTACTTTTGATCCCATAATCTCCCGTGCCTAGCGGTGGGCTCCCGGGATTCTGAAGAGAGGTCAGTGTCGTATGCGGTCCTTGTACTGGTTGCCGTGGGGTCGGCGATTGTGATGCCATTACGGGAGGGAGCGTCGTTGAGGCACGGGGTCTGGTTCTAGACGGATTCACGGCGCTCAAATCGGGAGCCATCGTTAGGCGGGGAATATCGGATTGAAGGGGATTGGGTTCCGGGGCATCTGAAGCGGGCGCCAGTGAACTATAACAATTTCAGCATTTCGATAAACAATGCGTAACTCAACGTCAGAGATCGGGGCAGTGATAAATCAAAATACCCCTTGATGAGGATTCCAGGGAGGACTCTGAAACATACCAGTAATGGAGGGGTCCCGAGCCCAGGTGACGCAAAGTCGTTGTTACTTTGTGTTGTTAGGCGAGGAAGGGAGAAGGAGATGTGATCAAAAGCGATGAATCACTTCGGACTGAAATCATAAGTTAGGCCTCTTCAGCATTTGTTTATGGCTTCATTGGGCCGTGCGCATAGACGGCATCTACTTGTACAGGTACAGGTGCAAGTACCTGTGTACATACATTCCGGAGCTCCGTAAAGACGTATCCCGGATGAGGGATTTGCATATCAATAGCATATCATATCATGATGACCGATACTTATTAAACTATTTGTGAATAGTTGAATATCGCTGTCGATCTATATCATATGACGGAGTTTGTAGACAGGTTGTATACATTGCAGTGCTCGGACCCCGATGAAGACATATTGGATGTCTCATTTGGAGCTATCGAGCAATTTGAGCCCAACGGAAGAAGATCATCTCCTGCAGGGACTATTTAACGTCATTCAATAGAGAAAGTTCAGCTTCCTCGCAGCAAAACATTCGAACTATAAGCTCGACGATCTACAGTTTACGTAAGCCCCTGCTGAAAGGAGCAAAACAACAACTTCCTTTGTCGCGATATTGTGGCAGTGAAGCCTGACCGGTCAGGGTCTCAGTTTGTCTCTCATACCGATTCTACTCTAAGCGTACATAGTCTCCTGGGCCAATGAAAGCCATGGTCCAACCCAACGACTCTGCCCTTATCCACATTCCACCCGTTGTGAAACCGCTCGCTCCTTACGTCAAATCCCGCCAGGAGGCCCGTCAGATCCGCCAGGCATTGACGTCTTATCTTCGATCATTTATCGTATTCGACGAAGACCAATCGACTCATCTCGCTCAATCCCACCTCGTCCTGTGTGCGCCAACTGATGCCGTCGCGGAGGTGAAGCGCATCCCTAGCGACCTACACGGACTACGAAGGGATTATTTGAAGGCGTTGGCGGCAAATGTTGCAGCTCGGAAGGACTTTGCCGCGGCCTCTGAGAATGTTTCCTCATTGAGAAGGCAGAGAAACGAGCAAACCCACCCTGCTGATGACGCAGATCAGCAAGAACCGGGTGCCGAACTCCGTGAATACCTTACCCTTCTACGCGATCGCCGGCGACATACCAAGCTGCAAGTGTTTCAACATTACCTTGAGGAGTTAAAAACGAGAGATACGGCTGAGTTGGGGGATATTGAGAACGGAGGGGAACAACCGCCATTGCCCGAGGTTGAAGCGGGTCGCAATGGCTCCGAAACGGACTTGGATGAACTCGTTCACAATCTCGAGAGGGCTGTCATTCATGCTAGGGCTCAATTAGATCGCGAAAAGCAACTATTCGAGAAAGCCAAAGCACGGAATGCATCTCAAGGGAAGTCTCAGATTGAAGTCTCGCCTGAGGTCAAAGCTCAAGCTTTACAAAAGACCCGCGATGAGCTAGTTCAATGGGTTGAGGAACGGCTAGTTGGTCAGGGAGATCCGGATGAAAGTGTACTCCAGGACCTGCCTGCGGAGGAAATTGAGCAGGTCCAGCGGGAGCTTGAGGAGCGCAAGATGCAGATTGCAGATCAGTACGCTGCATATGTACAGGCGCGACGAGAGCTTCTCGATGCCGCATCCAAGGCATGCCAACCACCCACCGTGCCGCCCAAACCTCCATCCAGATCAACATACAAGAACGAACTCACTACAGTGGAGGTACCTCCGCCAAACCCAATCGATGTGCTGTCGTACGCAAGCGAAAACCTGGTGCCATTATCAAAAAGCCATAAGGCCCTGGCTCTCCAGAAAACCTACCTATCCGGCTTACTCTCCAAGGAAAAGTCCACAACTCTCCGAGCTCTCAATCGCCTCAGCGACGAATCCCATTTGCTCCCTGAATATCCAGTTCTTTCGCGTCAGCCACGTTTCAAGCGTGCGGTAGCTGCTCTCAGTTCTCGAACCCAGACGCAGCCTTCAGATCAACCCACCGACGAAGTCCTCAGTCTCGCCGAAGCATGGGCATTTGCCTCTGAAGCTGCAGCCACCAACGAACGAGAGTTCGTCCAGCAAAAAATTGCACTGGGTACTGAAGTTGCTCAAGACGCGAGCAGGACCCTGACTGATGTATATGGGATTCTCAATCAGGACCTCGATGAGGTCATGCACGGCCAGGAACGGGAGCGGGATGGGTCAGATATCTGGACCTCCGAAGCTCGCTCCAGAGGGTTACCGAAGGCTAGTGGGTCTCGCATCGAGAAGCGACCGAAGGGTCCTTGGTCAGGCTTGAATGGAAGGGTTGGTGTGGAATAATGTGCTTGGCCTTGTTTCTAGTGGTGCAATTCATATACCATTTCGACTTTTGGTTACTCTGTTATTCTACTGTTTCATTGTGTTGCTCGGTGATGTTTGGTCGTATAGTTAAGTCTTGGCAACCGGCAGTTTGCCGGCGCAGAAATTATCACGAGGATCTTCATGCAGCGAGTATCAAACTCAATTGCGTATGCCAGTGATTGATTATAGTGTAATAACAGTCTGTGTGCATGAAGAATGGCTATTAAGCTTGTCATTTTGGTTTGTAGTCCAGTTAAGCAAACGAGTTTTTATCTGGGTTTAATTTAGGACTGGACTGTTCTTACACTCGATATAAATTAGCTAAAAGAAAACTTTTCGTTCTATTCTCTGTATAGTCTAGAACATTGACAGAGTTTTCACATCATTAGCCCTTAGCCTACTATTTACACCATCTCTGTGACGTTAAAGTCGAGAGAGATAAGGCAGAGGTCCACCCTCTGGACAGCGTTTGAGGTCCGGCATCGGCATGCAGATCATACTCGCGCACAAGCTTTGCTTTTTGTTCAAACTTCCCAATTGCTTTGTGGCTTTCAAATTGAGACTCGGATGTCTATTTACTTATGTTCAATTTATAGAATAGTTAGAGCAACGTCATAGGAGATCAGAATGTTCCCCGAGCGTTATAGTCGTCCCCGGCTCCACCTCTAGATTGACTCATCCGACGAAAAAAAAGAAAAGAAAAAATTACTACTGGCTCCCCAACCGCTTTTTATATTAAATCTTGTATTCAATCCCCTAGATTCAACTCCCTCTCCTTCTCTTCCCTCACAATCGAAGCTTTCGTGCGCCTCTATCTTGTAAAGTGGAGCCGTATACGGTAAGGGTACGAGCCAATTAGCGAGCCAGAGGGGAAAAAAAAGAATCTTGGAAAAGTGTAGACTCACCTCCTACACATCACCCTCGCAATTGAACTTCTTCTTCGCTCGAGCGGTGCAGTGCGCAATGGTTCTTGCTGCTCGATGTGGCCAGGCGGCTGGCCTGCTGCGCCAGCGCTGCCTCGCTGAAGCCCGTCCCGGTCTCTCTCTGCGCGCATTCTCCTCCCAGACTCCCGTCCGCTCGACGGCCTCCGCTCTGCGTCTGCAGAAGATCCCCACGGCTCGCTCTCAGCAGCTCCGTTCTTTCTCCAGCAGCCTGCGTCGTCTGGCTAGTGAGAAGCCTCCCACTGCTGAGTCTTACCTCGCCAGTGGTGCGGTGAAGACCGGTAGCGACCTTGTTGATGTCAAGAAGGTCCTCGTCATTGGTAGTGGTGGTCTGAGCATTGGACAGGCTGGAGAGTTCGATTATTCTGGTACGTTGGAATCAATTGGTGACAATTGTGCTGCACTTGGATCGTTTGCTCCCGTGTAGATTCCCCATGGGGGTGACGGGGAGTGTGCTCACGAAGCTTTTCTGTGGAGAATACAGAGAGCTTAGAGAGGGGCCCCAACAAAACAACTTTCAATAGCAGTAACTAATCTTGGACTCTCGGGTGATATAGGCTCCCAGGCTCTGAAGGCTCTCAAAGAAGCCGGCGTCCACTCGGTCTTGATCAACCCCAACATCGCGACCATCCAGACCGACCACAAGCTCGCCGACGAAGTCTACTACCTCCCCGTCACTCCCGAATACGTCACTCACGTCATTGAGCGCGAGCGTCCCGATGGTATCTTCCTTACCTTCGGTGGTCAGACCGCTCTGAACCTGGGTGTGCAGATGAACCGCATGGGTACCTTCGAGCGCTACGGTGTCAAGGTCCTTGGTACCAGCATCAAGACTCTGGAGACCAGTGAGGACCGTGATCTCTTCTCCCAGGCCCTGAACGAGATCAACATCCCCATTGCTGAGTCGACTGCCGTCGAGACTGTCGAGGATGCCCTCAAGGCCGCCGAGGAGGTTGGTTACCCCATCATCGTCCGGTCTGCCTATGCCCTTGGTGGTCTGGGTTCTGGCTTTGCTGCCAACCCCGAGGAACTCCGTGACCTGTCCTCGCGCTCTCTGTCCCTCTCTCCCCAGATTCTAGTTGAGAAGTCCCTCAAGGGCTGGAAGGAGGTTGAGTACGAGGTCGTCCGTGACGCTAAAAACAACTGTATCACTGTTTGCAACATGGAGAATTTCGACCCTCTCGGAATTCACACCGGTGACAGTATCGTCGTTGCCCCTAGTCAGACCCTGTCGGACGAGGAGTACCACATGCTCCGTACTGCTGCCATCAAGATCGTCCGTCACTTGGGTGTCGTTGGCGAGTGCAATGTTCAGTACGCTCTGCAGCCCGATGGACTCGACTACCGTGTCATTGAGGTCAACGCTCGTCTCTCTCGCTCGTCCGCTCTGGCTTCCAAGGCCACCGGTTACCCTCTCGCTTACACTGCGGCTAAGATTGGACTGGGACACTCTCTTCCCGAGCTCCCCAACGCCGTCACCAAGACCACCACTGCCAACTTCGAGCCCAGTCTGGACTACATTGTCACCAAGATTCCCCGGTGGGATTTGAGCAAGTTCCAGCACGTTAACCGCGATATTGGTTCTGCCATGAAGTCAGTTGGTGAGGTTATGGCCATCGGCCGTACCTGGGAGGAGTCCCTCCAGAAGGCTATCCGTCAGGTCGACCCCAAGTACATTGGTCTCCAGGGTGATCACTTCGAGGACCTCGACGAGACCCTCCGCAACCCCACCGACCGCCGCTGGTTGGCCGTTGGTCAGGCTATGCTCCACGAGGGCTACTCCGTTGACAAGGTCCACGACCTGACCAAGATCGACAAGTGGTTCCTGTACAAGATCCAGAACATCGTTGACTGCAACAACGAGCTCAAGGAGATCGGCAGTCTCTTCGGCATCAAGCAGGAGATCATGATGAAGGCCAAGAAGCTCGGTTTCTCTGACAAGCAGATCTCTCTCCTGGTTGGTTCCACTGAGGACGATGTTCGTGCCCGCCGTAAGTCCTTCGGCATCACCCCCTGGGTTAAGAAGATCGATACCCTGGCTGCCGAGTTCCCTGCCGACACCAACTACCTCTACACCACCTACAATGCTACCTCGCACGATGTCACCTTCGATGACCACGGAACTATCATCCTTGGTAGCGGTGTGTACCGTATTGGTAGCTCCGTCGAGTTCGATTGGTGCGCAGTCAACGCTACTCTCTCCCTCCGCAACATGGGCAAGAAGACCGTTATGATCAACTATAACCCGGAGACCTACTCCACTGACTTCGATACCGCTGACAAGCTCTACTTCGAGGAGCTCAGCTACGAGCGTGTCATGGATATCTACGAGCTCGAGGCCGCTAGCGGTGTCGTTGTCTCTGTCGGTGGTCAGCTACCTCAGAACATTGCCCTCCGTCTCCAGGAGACTGGTGGTGCCCACATTCTCGGTACCAACCCCGAGGACATTGACAAGGCTGAGGATCGTCACAAGTTCTCCCAGATCTTGGACAGCATTGGTGTCGACCAGCCCGCCTGGAAGGAGCTTACCTCCGTTGCCGAGGCCGAGAACTTCGCTGAGTCTGTCGGCTACCCCGTCCTGGTTCGTCCCAGTTACGTCCTGTCCGGTGCCGCCATGAACGTCATCTACAGCGTCGATGAGCTCAAGGAGAAGCTCCTCAACGCCAGTGCCGTTTCCCCCGACCACCCCGTTGTCATCACCAAGTTCATCGAGGGTGCCGAGGAGATCGACGTTGATGCCGTCGCTTCCAACGGTAAGCTTCTTGTTCACGCCGTCTCTGAGCACGTTGAGCCCGCCGGTGTCCACTCCGGTGACGCCACCCTCGTCCTTCCCCCCGCCAACCTGGAGGAGCCCATCATGGCCCGTGTCAAGGAGATTGCCCAGAAGGTCGCCAAGGCCTGGAACATCACCGGTCCCTTCAACATGCAGATCATCAAGGCCGATGTCGAGGGCGCCGAACCCCAGCTCAAGGTCATTGAGTGCAACCTGCGTGCCTCTCGTTCCTTCCCCTTCGTCAGCAAGGTCCTGGGTACCAACTTCATCGACGTCGCTACCAAGGCTCTCGTCGGCCGTGATGTCCCCGAGCCCGTTGACCTCATGAAGGAGAAGCGTGACTACCTCGCAACCAAGGTTCCCCAATTCTCCTGGACCCGTCTGGCTGGTGCGGACCCCTTCCTTGGCGTCGAGATGTCCTCCACTGGTGAGATTGCCTGCTTCGGTAAGGACCTCGTCGAGGCCTACTGGGCGTCTCTTCAGTCCACCATGAACTTCCGCATGCCCGAGCCCGGTGAAGGTATCCTTCTCGGTGGTGACGTTACCCAGCCTCACCTCGCCAAGATCGTCGAGTACCTCAACCCTCTCGGCTACAAGTTCTTCGCTGCCAACCCCGACGTCAAGGCTCACATCGAGTCCACTGCCCAGGACAACGTCTCCGTGCAGGTCATCGAGTTCCCCAAGAAGGACAAGCGTGCTCTCCGTGAGGTCTTCCAGAAGTACGACATCCGCGGTTGCTTCAACCTTGCCAAGACCCGCGGCAAGACCCAGCTTGACGAGGACTATGTCATGCGCCGTAACGCTGTCGACTTCAGCGTTCCCCTCTTCATGGAGCCCAAGGTATGTCAAACAGCCACCAGTAACCACATAGGAAGCGATCCAAATAACTAACTGATTCTCTAGACTGCGACCCTCTTCGCTCAGTGTATGAGCGAGAAGCTGCCCCGCTCCGGCGAGATCCCCTCCGAGGTTCGCACCTGGTCCAACTTCGTCGGCGGCAAGAAGCTGTAAATGGCTATTTTCTGCACAAACTGAACGAAAAAAGCCCACCATGTCGAAGCAAAAGAGAGAGAGATACCAAAGCCAACTCCCTTTCTATCTCTCAAACCCCTCGACATCCCCTATGACCACGGTCCTCCCGTCATGATTCCAATATATGACCTATATACTTTCTACTGTATCGTGTAGTGGGTAGGGGAAACCTGTTTATAGACGGCGTGCATTTCCTTAATTCGGCCTGCTTTTCCCTCGGATTGGAATGTTGTCTGTTCCCGCCCTGTTGATTTGTTCCTGTTTCTTTTATTTCCTGCGAGGTGGGGCTCTTGTGGCGTAGCGCTTATGTCCTGATTTCTTTTTTTTTTGAAAGACGAATTTTGGTCTGCTCATGCTTTTTGAGGTCTTTTGATGATGTAGCAAATTGGTTATATGTATTCGAGCGTCAAAAGATTATCGGGTTTTCGAGTGAGCATTCTTTTGTATTATCTAGTTATACACAATCTCCCCTCTTATTTGTGGTCTCATCTATAAGTGCCAAGACCGTACAGCACGATTATATATTCAATCGACTAGCTTGCTAAACCCCATCTTGGAGCCATCATTGTCGTTATATTACCATCAAAAACTCCCAACAACACAGCTAATATACCTAGCTCCAACTACAGAAATGGAAAACACAAACCGGAAGCATGGAAGGCCAGCAAAGAGACAGAGGACATACTGTTTGCAAAAACCGACAGAACCCAGCTCCATATTAACGAGCAACTCGATAGAAAGTATCCCGACAATGAAGGGATGCATGGGATTTTATCGACTTTGGCTAGACTGGAGGGTCCGGCATGGCAGGAGGCAGGCTGACCTTTACGAATGGAGCTCTATTCTCATCCGGCACCGTATCTGTATCACCGAGACGTTCGAATAGGATATATCACGTTACAGAAAATGGCCAACCAAGGCGGTTATTAAGGCTACTAACCTCCCCAATGTTCTAGAACTACTGTAAATAACTTAGATTGTTGCGGTGGTTCAATTCGGCCTCCGTACAAGATGACTAATAACCATCCCCAGACGTCGATCTCTGATTCTTATATCTTCAAACTATTCCCCTGGCACATATCGAATTCACAAAAGATGGCTTCCGGCGTTTCTTTACCCTCGGTGGAAACTAGGACCGTTCCCCGCCCAGCCCCCAATGGCATGGGCAACGGCCTGTTTGCAACAACTGACATCAAACCCGGTGAAGATGTTTTACACATCAAAACGCCATTTGTAGCTATTCTTGATTCGCCACGACTGGAGGATACATGTGCGGGCTGCTTTGGAAAGAGACAGATGGATACTGGAAATGAATTGAAGGCTTGTACTGGGTGTCGGGTAGTTAAGTACTGTGATAGGGTGAGTTCCTCGTTGTTATTCGGGATTTGGAATATTGCAGTTTCTTTGCTGTTTAAACTTTTTGTTTGGATTGGGATAAAATATCGTTAAATTTGCTAACGGATTTGGATCAGGCCTGTCAATCCAAGGATTGGAAGTTTGCTCATTCTCTTGAATGTCCTATTTTCAAGAATCTCAAGCCCATGATTCTACCCAACAATGCTCGTGCTCTGCTACGTATGGTGCTGCGTACTTCAAAGAATAAGTACAGTGCTGAGGAGACCAAGGTCTTTGATGATCTGGAGACTCATATCAATGAGATCCAGGAGAGCCAGGGTCAGCTGGACAGAATCACTTTGACTGCGAGAGCTGTGAAGAATTACTCCGGGACAGATGTGGATGAAGCAACTGTTTCTACCTATGCTGCCAAGGTAATATATTCCAACATGCCCTTCTCATTGATTCCATGCTGATCCATTTCTACAGCTGGATCTCAATTCTTTCAACCTCACCACCTCCATGTACGACCGTATCGGTCTATACTTGCATCCATATGCCGGCCTGATTAACCACAGCTGTGATTACAACGCCACGGTTGGATTTGACGGCGAAGAACTCTACGTCAAAGCGATGCGGCCAATCGAGAAAGACGAGCAAATCTTCATTTCATACATTGACACCACAACACCATACGATATCCGCCGCAACGAATTAAAAGAACGATACTTTTTCGATTGCCAATGCACTAAATGTGCCCTTGGCACAGACACACTCGAAGACCGATTCATTTCCACACCGGAAGACATGACCCCACTAGAGACTGCCGAGCGAGAAGCCCTCCAGCTCATGCAAACTGCCACCGCATCCAGCACAGAAGCCGAAGTCACAATCGAGCAATTGGAAGCTGCCATGCACACCCTTCACAAAACTGCCAACTGGCCTCTCACCCGCCAGCCCTATGCATCCCTCCGCGACAAGCTCATCATCTCCCTCCTATCCGCTGGAAACTTCACCCGGGCTTTCATCCACTCTGCCATTCGGTACCTTAAGATAGACCCTGTTGTCTATGATAAGGCCCATCCGATCCGACACATTCACGCATGGAGTCTGGTCAGACTCACTGTTTTCCTCTCCCAGGAAGGGTTCCCACCTAACCCTAAAGATCCTGTCCAAGTGCAGGATTTCCGACTGAACTTCCACTTCTTGATATGGTATATCCTTGCGGAGCTTACGAGCACTCAGTTGGAAAGTTGTACTGTGCCCAGCTTCAGGAAGCTAGTGGGGACTCAATTTGCTCAGGTTCACAATGAGTTCAAGGCCAATGGTATTGACCCTACTAAGTCTCGGGCTGCTCTTGGTGCTGAGATGAATAAGTTGGAGCAAATGGTTAATCAAGCTCTGGCGAAGGAGTAGATACTGTTAGCTTTTCTCTCATCACGCAGGTCAAAGTCGGTTTGAAAAGCTGTATCCATCAACTTGGAACTAATGTTAGAACGAAAAGGACTACAACGTTTCAAATCCAACGTCATCCATGCTTGATGCTTTTGAAGGTCTTGATTGATCGATAGTGGTTTTGAATTAAAAAGCGGGCTCAGAGTGATGTAAAAATATTTGAAAAATAAAGATAAATAATGGAAAAGAAGAAGAGGAAATTCTCGGGAAGCTTTGTGCGACTTCGGGGTTTCTTCTTTCGGTGCTTTCTAGGTTTGGAGGTACGGCACTGGCTTCAATGACACGTATCGGATGAAGGCCTTGAAAATCCTTCTCGTCGACTACGACGACGGCATCGTTGGACGGTCAGTCAAAGCTGCTTATTCCCAACTAGCAAGCCCCAGCTTTCCAATTATCATTGAACATTCATCGACCGATTATCCCACTGCAAACAACATTCGAGAAGCCGTCTGCAAGGGTCACTACTGGGGTGCGATTTACGCCAATCCTAACGCATCTTCACGGTTGTCTGCCGCACTTGCCTCTCCCGAAGCTGCCCAAACATACCAAAACTCTGGGGCGTTGACTTATATTTCGAACGGCGGAAGATATCCCTCCTACAGCCAAGTCATCTCTTCGAGTCTCCAGATCCTAGTCCAGGGGACTAGAGGTGCCTACAATGCTATGATGGGAATCGAAGCGATGGCTACAGCCAACACGACAAATGCGAATATCGCCCAGGTCTTATTTGACCCGATTGCCGCCTCATCCATTGATATTAGTCCGATAAACCAGGGTGTCCGTTTCTACTACAACACTGTCACGATGGTCATGGTTATCTTGCCACAATTCTTCTTCGTTATGGCGCTAAACGGTATCTCAGCTCAAACAAACATCTTTGGCTTACTGTCCCTGAAAAAGAACATCGCTTTTCGACTGGGTGTGTCTATCAGCTTCACTATCATCGCATCACTCTGTATGACAGGCTATATTTGGGCCTTCCGAGAAGATTGGGGAGTCACATCCGGCCAATTCGCATTGACATGGATGGCGGTATGGCTCGCCATGCACCTTAACTACTTCATCATCGATTCCGTAACAGCAGTTGCCCCGATAAGTCTCATGCCATTTTTCATTCTAACTTGGGTCATAATGAATGTCGCAAGCACTCTCGCTCCTTTCGAGTTGTCTCCTGGGTGGTACCGCATCGGATATGCCCTCCCGGTCTATGAGCTCTACCAAGTCCTCCTCGATATCTGGACTCACAGCTGCAACCCGACTCTATATTGGTCACTGCCTATCTTGTTCTCTTGGTGGCTTGTCGCTTTGGTCGCCTTCGTCGCCGCAATGCGTTGGCGAGTCCTTTCAGCTTCCGTCCAGTCTACGGAGCCGAGTGTTGTCGATTCTGAGAAGGCCTAATCCAAACTTTGGTGGATTTCGATTTAGAAAGGTGATGTTGCATGATGCGGGCAAAAGTTCCAATTAAGGAGGCTTGGGTTAATCTTTCTTTTTCTCTGCTTTCTTCTTGTACGTCATTTCTCCCCCTCACCCCAATTCTTTTGCATGCTTTAATAGAGCCTTTCCTATTTTGTCTGTATAACGCCGATTCCTTAAACAGCTTATCCTCAAGTCGAGAATTTCTCAGTGGGCGGCAAAAGAAGCCAGGACTACAGTTTCATAGTTGATCAATGAAGCCCCTTTTTTCATTCCCTATTGAACATATCACTTGATAGAATTGTTTCGTAAATCACTGAAACCGCGTGTGGAGGCGAACCGATATGGCAATGATAATGTTATGAAATCATGGTGGTGATCATGAAGAAAACGACAAATAAGAAAACCAAAACCATAAAGGGTATTTTTCAAACTCAATCTCTCTATCAGATCAACACAACTAACCTTGAGCCTTGGAAAAGGCCGGTACTGTAGGTACCTTGGATGCTGTACTGAAAACGAACATCGAGCTTGGGCGTGATGTACGTCTAATCCCAGATTATTTCTCTGACCGGTAAAGTGGCCGAGTGGTCTAAGGCGCACGGTTTAGGTTTCTTCATTTGTCTCCGTGTCTCGAAAGAGGCGAGGGTTCGAACCCCTCCTTTGCCATATTTTTTTGTACTTTATTTTTGTCCTTCTAGGAGGTTATTTTATACTTACGATAGATGGATAGTATATCCTTTCATTATTTGACATTAGAATTACCATTACCGCAATAAATATAAATAAGAATACAACAAAAAATTCTATGCCGTGGGGGCAACAATATATATCTAGGGCTGGCATATCGCTCGCTGACGTATGAAGTATAAAACCGACATACAAGAATTCCTAGATGAAATGTTACAGTGAACTAGAATTTTTAAGTTAAAATTTCATATTCATCTCTTTATCCCGCTATGCACAAAACCACACGCTAGGATCCCTCAAATAGATGGAGAGTAGGCGTGACCGCCTGGAACAAAGGCACCGATTATTCCCTTAAGTTACTATGTTAAGCACTTCACATGTAGAGAGAAGCAGCGAAGATAACATCGCGCTTAATCAACTCCTGTGCCTGTTGCATCTTAGTGTAAAGATTAGGGTCACCAACCAATTTAGCCGCATTCTTCACTTCACGGCAAGTCTCATCCAGGCGGGTAATGCAGCGAACAATAGTTCCCTCCATAACATCAGTGAGGTCAGTAATACGGTTAAAGGACATGCCCTTAGCCCATTCATAGACAACTTCGGCGAGACCGAAGCGCGGCTTGCTGGCGAAATCATTAGAGTCCTCGCTGGACTGGATGACTTGGTGTAGGATCTGGAAATCGTTCACCTTCTCGGCGATGGCGATAATCTCTTTCATTCCCTTGTCCAAGCGCGGAGTGAGTGTGGGCTTGCTGTCTGTCTTCTCCTGGAAGACAAATGCAGAGAGGAGCGCGACGATTTCCTCGGGTTCGTATTCGGCAAGGACATTTTCGAGGACCAGTTCGGTCAGGACTAGCTCGTCGGCGGAGTGGATCTCGCAGGCTACCTTGCCCTTGAGCTGCACGCGGGACTGGTCATCGACGAAGCCGAGCTCCTTCAGTACTTGGATGCGCTGTTCGTAGTCTGGAAGCAGTTGGAGGTTTTGGTCGGACATCAGCTGCTTCAGCTGCGTGATATTCTCCTTGACTTGCCATTCGTCGTGTTGCATTTCAAACTATCGGATGTTAGCACAGGCTCAGCCCAAGAGAATTTGTTACTCACGTGTTTCAAGAACTGAGGGCATTGGACGCAGCGGCATGACTGAACGATGTTTGCTTGGGCCTGTCGCTTTTCCAGGAGCTCACGCAATTGCAGCTCTGTGATGCGCTGCCAGTCCATTTCATCCCAAACTGAGCTGGTCCATGACTTGGTGTATTTGTGCAATTCCCTGTCAGCGTATTTGGCGGCCTCTGTATACAAGATGAGCATTCATTCCATAAGCAATGGAAAGTGGTCGTACCTTTCTTGATGTTGAGATACCAAACAGGTCCACCACCCCGAATCACAGTGTTGGTGATGCACTCGACATCAGAAAGGGGGATTTTGCATGTTTTCAAGCTCATTTGAGCGGCAGCAGTGGGAAGCGGCGGGAAGAATGGACGGAACATGGGAAGGAAAGGTAGGATATCAGCTGGATGGCGTTTGCTGCCCATAGTTCCGACTTCAAGGACGTGAATACAAGGGGCGGCTCCTCCTACCCCACCGGCGATTCCCTCACGAAGGACAAGACCAGCAGTACGGAGTCCGTCCTACAATACGGTTAGTACATCACGCAACATCATGGAAATATGCCCTCGCGACAATACGACAGGACATGAGGTTACGACGAAATTTATGAAAGCAGACTCACCTTTTTGTAAACAACCCACGTCTTCATCCCGATGAGACGCTTCGCAACAGGGGATGATGCCATCGCGGCATGCAGCTCAGCAGTAAGTTTCTGATACTCCATCGCTGCAGCATGACAAGCTACCAGATCCAGGTCGCAGATTTCACAGGGCTCCCGTTTGATCTTTGCAAGACTGTCCTCAGACAACTGCACTTGCTTTTCGTGCTCTGGCAAGAGAGCTTGCGTGGCATTCTCACTGAAACTGCGCTTGATCATCTCTTCAATCTTAAGTGCTTCCACGCGCAACAGGTTCAAGATCATGTTGTACGTGAGACGGAATTGCGATCTCAACTTAGTGGGCTCTCCGAGAATCATCTTCTTCAGTGCCCCAGCGGGCGGTGCCTCATCCTTTCCACTGTTCGTGACGATAACATAACCCACTGTGTCAAGACCTCGGCGACCTGCACGACCGGCCATCTGGGTATATTCACCCGGAAGGAGGTCACGGAAACCCTTGCCATCGTGCTTTCGGAAACCAGAGAACACAACGGTGCGAGTGGGTAGGTTCAGACCCATTGCAAAGGTTTCCGTTGCGAACAAGATCTTCACGAGTGACTTGGCAAAGAGGATCTCCACAACTTCCTTCATAATGGGCAAGAGACCACCGTGGTGAACGGCGACACCTCTGCTGAGCAACTCACGAAGACGAAGAATCTGAGGGAGGTCACGGTCCTCCGGCTTCAGACGGGTGAGTGACTTCTCAATGAACATGTGAATAAGACTCTTCTCAGTGGCGTTGCTAAAGTCTTGGTTTGATAGTGAATCGGCGTTCTCTTCGCATCGTTTCTTTGAGAATACGAAGACACATCCTGGCAACAGATCCTCCTTGCGGAGATGGGAGACAAGGTGCACCCATATGTTCTTGTCTTGCGCCGCACTTGTTCGTCCACCGCCACGACCAGTTCGAGCAATGTTTCCGCTACCGCGGGTGGAAGGTTGTCCTCTTCCGCCGCCGCCTTGTCCTCGGCCACGCTGGGGAGCACCTCCGCCCCGCGGACCGCGTGGGGGCGGGCCACCTCTGCCACCTTGCTGGCCCCGTCCCCTGCCCTGACCACTACCACGTTGCGCCTGAGTCTGAGCCTCAGCTTGAGCTCGAGCCAGGGCTGACTGGGCCTGAGCCTCGGCCTCCTTCTTGGCATAGATCTTGTCCTTGCCAGATATTATATCATTTGCTTTCTTCCAGCCGCCCTCGAGGAATCTCTTGTTGGAGTCAACAATCTTGTACTTGTCCTTTCCAGCCCAGAGATAGTGCTCCAGTGGGACAGGTCGTTTGTGGGTCGAAATGACATAGATGTCCTTCTTCTTTGTGCGGCCCACCCAGGAGGCAAACTCATAGGTGTTGGGGACAGTTGCGGAGAGAAGAATCAGCGTGACATGCTCCGGAAGCATGATGATGACCTCTTCCCAGACCACGCCACGCTCGGTGTCATTCACATAATGCACCTCATCGAAGATGACGAACTCAACGTCACGGATAAGATCGGCACCCCGATACAGCATACTTCGCAAGATCTCAGTGGTCATGATGAGACAGCTGGCTTCGGGGTTGATTTGAACATCGCCGGTCAGGATACCGACATCATCAAATTCAGTTCTGAAGTCACGGTACTTCTGGTTGCTCAATGCTTTGATGGGAGACGTGTAAATCGCTTTCGTCATGTGCTTGGCAGCCAAAGCAATTGCATACTCGGCCACGACTGTTTTTCCGGCTGACGTATGGGCGGCAACAAACACTGAATCGCCGCCCTCAAGGTGGTAGACGGCCTCTTTCTGGAAAGTGTCCAGCTCGAACGGCCATTCTCGGGCCATGTCAGGAACCAGTTCATTAAAGTTCGGAATATCTTTATTGATGTCAACGATGTGAGCCCATTCTCTGCCCTTGTCTTTCTTGGCTCCTGCAAGCAACTGGTTCCGCGGCTCCAGTGCAGGGAACTCGACTGGCAGCAAAGCATCGATGTCTTCTTCCTCGTCATTGTCGGAGACATCTTCGCCAGCTTCAGTTTCTGGAGCTTCAATGTCGGGGTTTTCGTCGGGCTTGTCGGCAGAAAGGTTGCTTTCCTCTTGGAGAAGGGCATGCTCGACTTCTTGATCACCTTCAACGTCTTTCGACTTGGCCTTGTCGAAGTTGAGACCGCGATCGAAGCCAGGGGCCGTTGTCAAAAGACCACCCTCGGTGCCGAAGTTGATAATCCGGTCAAGTCCTGACTGTTTTCCACTACGAGATTGCTCCGTGATTTCAGAGTCATCCTCCATAGCAGCAATGGCTTCTACGCCCTCCAGGCCACCAGGAGAAAAGGGAAAGAAGCCAGCTGCTCCTCGAACGAAGTCGGCACGACCAGCAGGTCGACGAGTCAGTGATGTGGAGTTCTTAGCGGTGGCGGCGCTTGCAGCAGGAACGGTGACTTCATGGTAACCGGTGACCCGGCCCTCTAGTCCTTCCCGTGTGAAGCGAGTGACGGTTCGAGATTGGGTGGGGGCAAGTTCGAAAAGATCTGTATGGTTTGTCGAGACATCCCATCGTCTGTGCAAGCCGTTAGCATCCATGAACGCAGCTTTTCCGCCAACCAGCAGAAAGGTAAAAAAAGACAAACATACTTCTGAAGATTGTTCAGCCATTTGGTGTTGAACTTATCCGATGGAGTTAGAAATTCGTTTTCAAGCTCAGCAAGCAATTCCTCTGAGGTCTGGTGAGCTTGCTTGCGAGGTTGAACGTCCTCGACCATGCCGCTCTGCTCATCTGCCAGGCGAGCTTCGAAAGCTGCGGGGCTGACATTCTTGACAGTCAAGCTTAATCGCTCCATAGATGAGGCGATCGAGTCTGCCATAATGCTAGCAAGACTGGATATCGAAGGGAGAATTGGCCTGGTGAAATTGTGCTGATGTTTGACTCGGCAAAAGCCGCACCCCACACCGGTCTGTGTTAGGCAATTCAATCACTGTGCGGAGATCCGACAGCAATTGTCCTTCAACAAGAAGAAATGGCCTTGTGGGTGCAGTTATCGCGTGTCTCGGGGTGAATTCGGACGATGATTGCCTTTGGAGAAAAATTGAGGTGAAACGGTGCCCTGTTGTTGGCTGCGCAGACCTCGCGGGTGGAAGACAACTGGGGCGGTGTCGACCAAACCGGCATTATATACCGGCAGTATTCATGACGTCGTGTGGGGGGCGGTGTGAGCTATGGCCGAACGCTTTTCCACTCCATCCATGAAGGAGAGTATTCATTGTTTAATGGATTGATTTTATCCCTTTCTTTGCCTGCTTACTAGCACTAGAAGTGGATTGAGGATGTTATGTGACAGAAACTAATCGTCTGGCTTATTCTTGTTCAATTTAGAAGGTATCATATTAGCTTGGTAGCATATGTAGCCTAACTTTTTGTACTGTAATAATCCATACAAAGAAGAAAGGAAAATAGTAAAAGTGACATAGTTGAAACATGGCAAAGATAAAAGATGTACGCCCCGAAGCGCCAAAGGCATATGCAAAATAAAATCAACAGCAAGAGTGGAAATCAACGGCAAGAGAAGCTAGGGAAAGTTTTTCGGTCATGAATGTTGAGATGAAACTCGTAGATACCTTCCAATGTCGCAATGTACCTGCAAAAGTTAGTATACTTTCACAATATCTGCTAGGGGGATACCCACAAGGTCCGTCCATCGGCGCCCCAGCCAACACCAGCAGTGGAATCCGGTTCATCGGCTGAATTTTGCCCGCTTCGATCGGGGAGTTCATTGATAATGTTTCTGATCCAATGAGGAGAGTGCGTCTGCTCAAAACCGAGAAGTTGCTGACGATGTCGCTGTTCTCTTTCAAAGGAGCGGTTGTGTACCTCATTGGCAATCTGGCGCTGGCGCCTAAGCCGCTCGGCGGCAACATTGGCGCGGATCTCATATGTTGTAAGGCGAGATGTGTCATATCTCCTCTGTTCCGACGCTCCAGTTGGTGGTCGATCAACTCGTCGAGGAATAGAGCTTGACCGCTGGGACCGGCGAGTCAGGCCGTGTAAATCGGGGCTTGGGTTGGATGAGCCATTTGCTTCAGACGGTGTGCCAATCTCATTGTGAATGAGATCAGAGTCAACACCCGCTCGAGAAAGAATCTCTGACGTGAGAGATGGAAGCTCAGAGGGGGAAGTTGAATAGTTCAAAATATTTGACTGGCGGTCCGGGTGTACAGACGCCGTTTCCGAAGACCGATTGCCCTGGGACAGGACTACCGAGCCCTGACGTCTTGGATTGGATGCTGCACGGCCCAAATGGCTATCACGGGAGACATCAGAGTGATCATAGGGGTGCAGAGGTGAAGTAGGACGGTGAGTGCGAGTGGCGCCATCTGTGGAACCCTGATGCCGCGTCCGGGCCACTGGATGAGGAGGGTGAAGACCGGAGACGGCGGCCGATCGTTCTGGTCTCTCAGTAAGTCCCTCTTCAAGTCGTGACGTCCAGCGTGCTGTGTTCAAAAACTCCATAATCAACCTTTCTCTCTCGGTAAGATCGTGCATCACAGATTCGCGCAGTGAAGAATGCTCTGTATCCTCTGTGTTTCTCTCAATTTGAAGATCGTCATCATCGATCCTCGTACGTGTTGGCTGGTCGAATAGCTCTTCGCCGAGACGCGGGCGTTCGAGGTCATCAGTCAGATAATCTGTGTACACTTCTTCCATTGACGGCTCGTCGGCATCCAGGTGGAGGATCTGCCTGCGTAAAAACCCCTGACGAACGTCTGCAACTCCGGCTCGGCCATGGCCCTCCAACCATACTAGAAGGTCCCAAGGCTCCGGTGAAAATGCCATGCAGCGCACGGCGCCGCCCTCGGCGCATGACCTTGAAGCTGAAAATTGACAAATAACTGGCGTGTCATCCTCGGAGTCGCCAGAGGTCCCCCAAATAGAGGGAACATCGATGACTGTGATGATTCCAGATTGGGATCCTATGGCACACAACCGGCTGGATGGCGAGAAAGCCACGGTAAAGCAACACGCATCATCCGCGCGCGGGCCAATATCCAACTCCAGACATTGGATAAGCTCCCATTCCCATCCTGTGACCTTCTGATTTGTATCAGTGACACCGACTGACTCCAAGTCACGGACAATTTCATAGAAGTAAGCGCGGTTCTCATCCCCGACAGCAGTGAGCAGCTTGGAGTCTGGGGAAATGGTCGCATAGTTCATGCATGTCGGGTGATGAAGAACTTTGAGGACTTTTGCGCGCGTAAGTGAGTACACTGTTACCGTTCGATCATTGTTGCTATTCACAATAGTTAGCATCGTCAGTATGCGCCAATTTTGCGATCAGGCGCTAACCTCAGAACAACCACGTCTTCATCCGCCAGACCATCGCCGCCACCATAGAAACGATGAATAGCCACCGAATTGACTATGCTACCGCCAAACTTGTGGAGCTCCACTTCACGCAATGGTCGGCTGAGGGGACGGCGAGCTGATGCAAATTCGCTACTGGCGTTATTGGGCGTCCCCGGCGATGCCCGTCTTGATGGGGAGTCGAGATCGAGTGGCAGCGGAGTGTCCACGTCGGAAGTGTAGAACGAGGGCAATTCTCCATGTACTTGCAGGTCTCGGTCACCAATCCGGACGAAAGCGCATTCGCCATTTTCGGGACCGCCGATGGCAATCCAGCCATGTCCAGCGGCGAGACAGCGCGGCTCAAACGGAATAACCGCTACACTCACTCGCTTTTGCGCCGAGATGTGGATTGAGTACACGATTCTCTCGACCACCACATAAATTCGATCGGGATCAGCGGTGCTGATGTAGTTGCGAAGCTGTACATGGCTATGACAAAGCTCTGGGTTAGATTGCGCACAGATAAGAGAAGTGGGACAGCTCAACGAACAAGTTGGGGATCTTGAACGGGAAGAAGCGCCGCTTGTTTGGGAGAATGAGTGCCTCGGTCGGGCGATGTCTACGACGGTCAGATTAGCTTAACAGGTGGGACATGATCCGGAGGCTCACAGCAGAGAATCCGAGGTCATGATGTGAGCTAGTCCAGAGGTGACATTGTTCGAGCGGGGAAGTGCGAGGACAAAAGTGACAGCCCCAGTTGAAGTTTGATAGAGAACCGACAGCGGTGTTCTTTTCTTTTCCCCCTTTGATAAGAAGAAAAATAAAAACCAAAGCTTTGAGCAGCTGAAAGTCCAACGCTTTCAGAAAATGATGACGTAAGATGGGCCAATTTGGCTGGTTCCGGTGTCGCAGTCCATCTGGGCCTAAAACCCGGGGAACTGCGAGTCCAGCGAATAGTGTCGACTCTACATACATTCGCCTAGAATGTGCCCACAGATGTTTGGTGGTTAAGTCATCCGTGCTCTATTTGATTCTTGGATATACATTGCCACTCTACCACTCCATCACTCTACAGCATACTCTTATCTATGATCTGGGGTCCCCAAGGTCCACAACTCCATCACTACAATGTAATTGAGTATCCAGATCCAGACGGACTTGGCTCTATTCCCAATTGTGTCTCAGGCTCAGCCAAATAAGGGAGTTTGCCGACCACGTCACACGACACCGTGAAGTATAACTAGTTCACCCCGGAATTACCACAGAGACAGGAGGAATGCTTAATGCAACAGACCGAGTCTATGGAATCGGATATAGTCCTGTTGCATATGCTATCGTATCTCTATACTGTAGTGCTCGTACAGTAACAACTTCGTGTCTTCACAGCATAGCTCTGGACCTCGGGACGAAGACTGGCAAGCATCTAACATAAAAATGCGACTTGGTACTGTAAAATGTGCTATTGAGAGCGAAGAAATATACCAATTTACTCTATCAAGTACAGTATAACCTCTCTTCTCTATACTCCGGACGCCCCCTATACTTCCCTGATGACGAAAGGCGGTGAGCTCGGTTACCGGGCAGCCTCCCGGTGGCGCTCATTGGCCAGGTCCCGTGATTCTACCAAGTTCGACGGCCCGAAGCTCTCCGTGCAATTTCTATTCCCTTCTCCCCTTCTTTCTGCTTCCATCCTCATTCTCCATCCTCCCCATCCTTTCTTCCTCCCTTTAATACTCTGCGATTGAGTCGTTGAGTTCTTTTTCTCATTGTATTAATTAATATCCCTCACAATGCTTCCTCGCACAATCACCCGCGCTGTAAGCTTCCCCTTGACCCGAAAAAATTTCGACGCGTTGACACTAACATTTCTCCCAGCTCCCGCGCGCTGCTTTCGCTCGCACCCCTGCCTCCAGATTCCCCGGCGCATCAATCCGGAGATGGAACTCAACGGAAGGTGGTGAGGAGAAGGTGAAGGGCCAGGTCATCGGTATTGATCTTGGTAAGTGATCGCACGACATTCATTCATCAACATCATCCTAACATTGTCAATTACAGGTACCACCAACTCCGCTGTTGCCGTTATGGAAGGCAAGGCCCCTAAGATCATCGAGAACGCCGAAGGTACGTTGGAAAAAAAACTTTTACACGCGGTCAAGTGGCCAGAGCTCAACCTCGGGAGCTCTGCCGAGGGCCGAAATCTCAGAACTGGGTTGCTAACTAGATCTCCCAACAGGTGCCCGCACAACTCCCTCCGTCGTTGGTTTCGCCCAGGATGGCGAGCGTCTCGTCGGTATTGCCGCCAAGCGCCAGGCTGTTGTCAACCCCGAGAACACTCTGTTCGCTACTAAGCGTCTGATTGGTCGCAAGTACACCGACGCTGAGGTTCAGCGTGACATTAAGGAGGTCCCCTACAAGATCGTCCAGCACTCCAACGGTGACGCCTGGGTTGAGGCCCGTGGCCAGAAGTACTCTCCTTCCCAGGTTGGTGGTTTCGTCCTCAACAAGATGAAGGAGACCGCCGAGGCCTACCTCAGCAAGCCCGTTAAGAACGCCGTTGTCACTGTTCCCGCGTACTTCAACGACTCTCAGCGTCAGGCTACCAAGGATGCTGGTCAGATTGCCGGCCTGAACGTCCTCCGTGTCGTCAACGAGCCCACCGCTGCCGCCCTTGCCTACGGTATGGAGAAGGAGACCGACCGTGTTGTCGCCGTCTACGATCTTGGTGGTGGTACTTTCGATATCTCCGTCCTTGAGATCCAGAAGGGTGTCTTCGAGGTCAAGTCCACCAACGGTGACACTCACCTCGGTGGTGAGGACTTCGACATCAACCTCGTCCGTCACATTGTCGGCGAGTTCAAGAAGGAGTCTGGTCTCGACCTTAGTGGTGACCGCATGGCCATCCAGCGTATCCGTGAGGCCGCTGAGAAGGCCAAGATCGAGCTGTCCTCTTCCCTCCAGACCGAGATCAACCTGCCCTTCATCACAGCTGACGCCTCCGGCGCCAAGCACATCAACCTGAAGATGACCCGTGCTCAGCTCGAGGCCCTGGTTGACCCTCTCATTGCCCGCACCACTGAGCCCGTCCGCAAGGCCCTTAAGGATGCCGGTCTCCAGTCTGGTGACATCCAGGACATCATTCTGGTCGGTGGTATGACCCGTATGCCCAAGGTCAACGAATCCGTCAAGTCCATCTTCGGCCGTGAGCCCTCCAAGTCCGTCAACCCCGATGAGGCTGTCGCCATTGGTGCCGCCATCCAGGGTGCTGTCCTTGCTGGTGAGGTCACTGACGTTCTCCTGCTCGATGTCACTCCCCTCTCCCTCGGTATCGAGACCCTTGGCGGTGTCTTCACCCGTCTGATCAACCGTAACACCACCATCCCCACCAAGAAGTCCCAGACCTTCTCCACCGCTGCCGACATGCAGACCGCTGTCGAGATCAAGGTCTACCAGGGTGAGCGTGAGCTTGTCAAGGACAACAAGATGCTTGGAAACTTCCAGCTCGTTGGTATCCCCCCTGCCCACCGTGGTGTCCCCCAGATCGAGGTCACCTTCGACATTGACGCCGACTCCATCGTCCACGTCAACGCGAAGGACAAGTCCACCAACAAGGACCAGTCCATCACCATCGCCTCCGGCTCCGGTCTCTCCGATGCCGAGATCCAGTCCATGGTTGAGGACTCCGAGAAGTACGCTGAGGCTGACAAGGAGCGCAAGGCCGCCATTGAGGCCGCCAACCGTGCCGACTCTGTCCTGAACGATACCGAGAAGGCCCTCAAGGACTTCGAGGACCGTCTCGACAAGACCGAGGCTGAGACCATCAAGGAGAAGATTGCCACTCTCCGTGAGTTCGTTGTCAAGAACCAGTCTGGTGAGGGTACCGCCACCGCCGAGGAGCTCAAGGAGAAGACCGACGAGCTCCAGACTGCCAGCTTGACCCTGTTCGACAAGATGCACAAGGCCAACAACGAGGCCCAGCAGCAGCAGCAGCAGGGTGGTGAGCAGCAGGGTGAGAACAAGCAGTAAATGCATTCTCCCGAGCCGACTGCTCCCCCTGAACCACGTTGAGCCTGGTTCCTGTATTTTTTTTATTATTTTCCTTTCCCTTTCCTTTGTGTGTTAGAGACTCCCTGATTCTGCATCTCCTTTTTTTTTCTCGCATTTACCTGTACACATACTCTTTAAGGCCTCTTTACCTCTTTACCCCTTTTCGTTTTACGGTGTCTCGGTGTTTGACTACCATGTATGATCATCTATTCTTCTCTCTTTGCCCTCGTGCCTCTGGTCGGGTCCATTGCCCGTCAGCTGGTATGCCGGGATTGTCTACAACTGTATCTAATGACATTACGGCAGGGGGCCACAAAAAAGGATGTGGTAGGCTTTGGTTATTTGGGGCATGTGACAATAGAAATCGGACAATTCTCCTCTCGCTTCAAACGTTCCTCAAACATTCCTCACTTTTGATCTGTAGAACCGTTATCGAGCAGGGTTTCGTGGCATGGGGGTTGGAACATTTGCTGCTTCACTTTGCATCACTCTGCTTCACAGCTGCATCTCTAGTTGTTTCCGACCTATCACCTCCCCAACCCTAATACAGACCAATCCAGACTCCTAGCCTCAAACAAACAATAGATTGAATCTGACTGTATGTGTGTACTCTGCAGACGTAGGCGTAGGTGCAGGCGTAGGCTGTGGGCTGTGGGCCGTTTCCACATATACTACATGCTAGTAGCATCTATAGTACGGAGTACGCAGTACAACCTCCCTAGTCTCTTACTGGGAGAACACAAAGTCCAAGCTCATGATTAATTATAGTTATATTACATGTACGGAGACCTTGCAATGTACATGTACACATCAACTCCAAAGGCAATATCTGGCTGACAACGATGATAGGCTGGATGCTTTTTGGCGCACGGGTTTCTTACTCGTAGCTCCACACATTGAGCCAGTCACCTGAAACTGTCGAGACGCCTTTTGACTCCAATCAATTAATTATATTTTGGGCCTCCACTTTTGTCTTTGGGCCAATCGTCTCTGTAGTCTTTTCCTTGCATTACCCGCGATTATTGTTCAACCTTGAAATGTTTGTTTTTAGTAGAGGATGTAGAAGCGACCAAATAGAAACAGAAATCAATAAATCAATAAATCCTAAATCATAAATCATGGAATTGGAGTACATGAACATTACATGGGACAGTATCTAGACACTTCGAAAATCCAATTGCTGGGCCTAGCCTCGCGTGTACAGTACAACACATGCTTAATTTAATCTTACTTTCCCCATTAAATGCACTCCATCGTGTATACATGCACACGTACATGTGAGCCGAGGGGACCGGGGACCGGGGGACGGGGGAGGGAAAAACAAGAATCTGGCCCTACAGTACATGTACCATCAAACAAGGATACGAACAACAATTGTTATCAGACCAATCCGGACTCGAGCCGCCGGTGACAGAGCGAAGCAGTCGTGCAGACTTCCCTGCAGCGCGCGCGGTCGAGCAACAAATCATCGTTGTACACACCAGTCAGGCTACCACAGTGGGTCTTTTGCAATGACAGTGTTTGTGAATAGTCGTCATACAGGAATTATTTCCAATTATTGTGGAGAGGGGGTTACATGTAGGATTAGGGGGGTCTAGGGGGCCAGGATAGCGTATAGGGGGCATGATGGGGTGAGAGAAGGCAA